TCTCCGACCTCCCGTCTTCCCGCGAATCAGCTGTTCGCGCGGGAAGCCGGGGAAGGCTGAAAAGCAGGCGGTGGCTTCGCGCTCAGGCCCAGGGTTATTCACGTAGCTGGAGTTGTGTAACTTAGGTCAACTTACCACAGCAGTGTAGACATCACCTTAGAATTCACCAACCAATTACCAAGTGGAAACACTGCATGCACTGTAACAGCCTAACCGTGGAGTCACGGACAGTCTACTTGTGTATGCCAATCTATCTCGCTACCCAGGGGAGCGTATGTTTGTGACACCTGGCCACTAACACCAAGAATCACAGCAACATTCAGGTTACTCCTAGCTCCAAAGGAGCAGTCACGTACCCCAGTCAATTGCACCTTAGATCTCACATCAAAGACAATGAATATAAAGATTCATTAACTAGGAAATTAGAGTGTTATTTACAAGGTTAAAGCAGGTAAACGTGTACACAAATGGAGTTACAATTTAAGTTTCAAAAGGCAATAGAAGCCTCTATATTCAGCGAGCTCTATATGTCCTTTAGGGCTAACTCAGGCTAAGCAACTGGGGATCTCTTGTTTATGCCTAGAAAATCCCCATCCCCACTTCCCCTGAGTCCAAGCACAGAGATTAATCAGTTCCTTCAGGTTAGGGTTTTTTTCTCTCTCTCCTGCTACATGCCCTGAGCTGCAAACTCCCGACAGGAGGAATCCACTCACAAGACTCGTCTTCATGGGGGAGGGTAGAACACACATCGTTTGTCCTCTTTAATGCCCCACAGTATCTATGTCTGGTGTCAATGGACCTTTCCTGTTGGGCAGGACGTAACACCTTCCATTGCATATCAGTTCCTCACTTTAATTAATGTCCCTCTTCTGTCTGGTGATTTACATAATCTCAGAGGCTCACAATATAACCGCTCAAATATTACCTTACAATATAGGTGTGACGTTCTGTACCTCATGGGAACACCCCACACCACCATGTTCATCCTTATAAAATGATTGTGTGGTATCTAATGCAAAGTTTGTCGTGTCGTCTGTCTTCGGAAGGCTCATGATGCACGGAGCATTGTTATTATAGTGATGTTATAGGTTGTAATTTCATGTATATTGTTATTAGGCTGAAAATGTGTCTTCATGGCTTAAAATAAGCTCAGGCAAAAACTCTCCAAGAGTAGAGGGGCAGTTCACACGTCATCAGGGCACGTATGGGACAAACCCAGCCCAGCCTCACAGGAACAAAGGACACTGGTCTAGGAAGCAACAAAGGATCTGTTGGCTCTCGAGTGAGTCACCCCCTTTTCCTTGGTCCGACAGGCACTACGATGAGGTAATGCTCACCTGACTCCGAGGGGGGGGGGCACGAAGCCAAGAGAGAAGAAAAAACATGATAAAAGGGAGAGACGTTTGCCATGCTGTTCCTCTCTCTTCCACCTCCATCTACAGACATCGCCACCAAGCGACTGAAGCACGGATCAAAGAGAAGAGCCTGGCTGAAGGACAACCAGCCAGCCTGTGGAGAGAAGCATCTAAGTTTGTAAGGGCATTGAAAGCATTAAGATCAGCTTAGAATGCGTTCTGCTTTTATTTCATTTGACCAAATCCAACATGTTATGCTTTGACTTATAATCACTTAAAATCTATCTTTGTAGTTAATAAATCTGTTTGTTTATTCTATCTAAAGCAGTGCATTTGGTTTGAAGCATATGAGAGACTCCCCTTGGGATAACAAGCCTGGTGCATATCAATGTCTGTGTTATATTGACAAACTCATATGAGCTTGCAGCGTCCAGCGGGCATAACTGGACACTGCAAGACAGAGGTTCCCAGGGTTGTGTCTGGGACCGGAGATACCGGCTAGTGTTATTTGGTTGTACAATCCAAGGAGCAGCTTACATGCCAGAGGCTGTGCGTGAACAGCCCAGGAGTGGGTTTCTCACATTTCAACTGGTTCACTACTTCAGCCAGGGTGGCTCGATCTTGGGCCGCCTGGTTCATCAATAATTGGTTAGTCTCCTGTTGGACTCTTACTGCCTCTTGGTGGGTCACCATCTGTACCCTGGTAGCTTCTTGTTCGGCCGCAGTGGCCTGTACCAACGCCTTTGCTACATCCTCGATTTTTTTTTTTTTTTTTTTTTTAAAAACCCTGCCCTGAGATGGCTTGCCACTGAGCCTTACTCACTCACTATTCCACTTCTGCCACCTCGTGTGGCAAAGTACCTTGTTCTCCTCAGCAGACTCAGTCCTTTTTAGCCTTGGAGACAGCGGCTTGGGCAAAGTCACCAGCCACATTTACTGAACTTTACAAGTTCAATGTTTCTTTTGGGTCAGAGAAAGACTTTCAAATTATACATGGGGAAAACAAGCTAGTTTTGGATATTTCCAGGTCTAAAATAATACAGGTATAAAGGAGGGCAGTGTGCTTTTATTTAAAAGCAATATTCAAAGTTTTTTATGTGTGTTCACTTTAATACTAAGTGAAATCAAGATTTTTTTTTAAATGATGCAGAGAATTAAATATACCTACTAAAGCCAAAATATTTAAAACACTGTAGAAACACAAAGCATGGAAGTATGTAGGAGCCCTCTCAAAACCAATACTAACACTGTAAAAACTTATGATTCTTGGGGGAAGAAGGGAAAGATAAAAGTTTGAAATTCAGTGTCAATAAATAGTCAAAAGCTCTAATGCTTGCCCAAACTCTGGACTTGGATACATCTACCATATCCCTAGTTCTCCTATAATATTCCTTAGAACAGGCTCTGTTTGGCAACCCCTAACATCGTCCCTGTTGTTTTGCAGTAGCCTACTATCATCTGTTACTTCTAGATGGCATATCCTTTGTCCTCCCACTAGACTCCCTGGGACTTCCCACCTTATTGGTCCCCAACTTTCTCTCTTCCCATAAATCCACCAGGAACTGCACATGCTTTCCCTATGGAAGATATGATTATCTTTAACTAAAAATATATAGCATGACTTATTTTATGAAATACAATTCTTTTTTTTAATTGTTGAAAGCAAGTATAGCTCCATCTTGGCCTAAAATAGAAAACTAATTCATATTTCAGAATCAACATATTTTTAGTTAAAAATAGTCTTCATAAAAAATAGGCATGTGTGTATGTCTCTAAACTCCAAAAGCAACTCAAAGGATCAATATCTCCCTTTTGGCTGTGGGGACAGTATCTAAGATAAATATGATTCAGCAGGGTTTTTTCCTGTGGCACTCAAGGAAAGGTCGGTCAGGTATTTCAGTTACAAAGATCTAGGACAGATCCAACTAACATATGGTAGTTGTCTCACCAGTGAGATTAGGATACTTCAGTGGGCATGTTCAGCTCCACAAAAACCATCTTGTAGCAGAGTGTGTGTGCATGTGCGTGCAGAGAGATGTACCCAATATAATGATTAGCATGTCCACGCAACACACTGCACAACCATTTGATAAACTACATGTACACACGTTTGATCGCAACTAACCAACAATTCATTACAGATGTGTTCTCTTACTATTCCAAACTGCAAGTAGCTTCAGTCAAAACTGACTTTTTTTCTCTTTTCTTCCTGCTGGAGAGAAGGTACAATCCTCTCTTGAATTTATTAAGATTTGGGAAGATCAGAGAAAGTCTCCTAACACTTGTTTTGATACTTTTCATTCACAGATCTAAAAGCACTTGTTCCTTCTCTGCAGTTGCACTATCCTCATTTCACAAATAGGGAAACTGCAGTCCAGGGTATGTCTACACAGCTAAGAAAAACCCACAGCTGGCCCATACCAGCCAGCCTGGGCTCATGGTGGTTTCACTGGTATGTAGACTTCCGGGCGTGGGCTCAGGCCCAGGGTCTAGCACTCTTTGAGTTTGGAGGGTCCCAGAGCCCGGGCTCCAGCCCGGAATCTACACAGCAATGAAACAGCCCCACAGCTTGAGCCCCGTGAGCCCAAGTCAGCTGGCAAGTGCCAGCTGTAGGCTTTTCTTTGCTGGGTAGACATACCCCTACAATGGTAGTCATTAGCTCAAGGTGACATCAAGTCAGTGAGCGCACCAGAGACAGAACTCAGGTCCACCATACTATTCCGATATCCACAGGAGTATGCCTGCTTCCTTATGATGTAACCAAGCATGGGCAGTTTTTTTAAACATTTGAGACTATTATTTCATTGGATTGCTGGGAAATTCAAAAGATAAAAGTCCCTTGTTAAAAAAAAGATATAGGTACATAAAACAGCTCTTTTGGGGGAGACAAATCTGAGGTCTGTTTAACCAGTTTGTGAATCTTTAATTAAAAACATGTGATCTAACCCACTGACAGATTGAGGCCAGTGGGGTTAAAAGCAGTCATGTTACACACCCTTGAAATCAGAGTTCAAAACAGCAATAATTACAAACCGCTTTATTAGAGCAGTTTAGAGTTGAAACAAGGTTTCATGTTTAGTTTTAGGGAAAAGCAAAGTCTTGAGGTATTTCAGTTACTTTTTTGGTGGAGGGGTAGTGGACGAGAGTTATGAAAATACTTAAAAATATACAAGTAACTCATTCACTTGCATTAATATTTACTGCTATTGTAAGTGCTTCTATGCTGCATAAAATAACATTATTAACAAAAGGTTCAACTTTGAGCAAGCTCCATTTTAATATATATTTTTTTTCAGTTTCAGGATTTGAGGCACTCCCAGCTGCAGTACTGTAAGTAAAGGAGGAAGCACAGGGTGACTAAAACCCCACAGTGAGAGAAAGTCAGCTCTTTCCAGTCCCCGAACAACTATGGCAGACGAGGAAAATAAAAAATGTTGTTAATTTTAAGGATGAGAATGTACCCAGATTGACATTTCAGCTAATAATGCAGTTATAACTAACAGAGAAACACAGTCTTCCCTTACTATTAACCCCCCCGATTCCCTTCCATTTGTACTCCTATGTATGTTTACCTTCACCTGTCACTTATTCTAAAATGTTGCCCTTTAACTACTTTCATTAAAACCAATAGAAAATTTTTCAAAATCAGTGGGCAAATTAGATCAGTTTATTAAATTTACAGTTTAAACAAAAATTACAAAAACCTTCATTAAAATAATATTTGGAACTAATTTAGATTATTAATTTACCACTTACGAACTGCTTAGTTAACAAGTGATATTACACAGTCTCTACTACAATATTTGTCTTGTATAGTTTGTAAAAACTCACTATTGATCAATTCAAATACATTTAGTGTGTTTTATCCCAATTAGCTCTTATTTTATGTTGTGTATAACTGTTCAAACCATTCTGTTTGAAGGAATGGAGGAGTTAGCCAACACCTAACCCAAAATTATTTGTACAGCAGAGAAATTAGATTAACGAAGGAAGTAACTCTACTTGGCTTTTACTTTGATGTGACAAACCTAATACAGATCAACCAAATGCACACATCTCTGATTTGCTGCTACAAGCAGGTAGCTAGACAAACTATGGTACAATGCACTACAATTTACATTAGTGTATAAAAGTGGATCACAAAAAACAAACACATGATCTGCTTTGTACTAACAACATTTACCCCATTTCAAGTAAAAGAAAGATCGCCTTCACCACAGGATTCTTTAGTGTGGATATGCAACAAGTCAATCCTGCAGTCCTTACACAGGCAGGACATTCATTTAGGTTGCAACTTAGGGCTTGGCTACACTTGCAGATGTAAAGCACTTTGGGTTAAACCAGCCTCATACAGCGCAGTAGGGAAAGTGCTGCAGTCTGTCCACAGTGACAGGTGAAAGCACACTGGGGGGGCCACATTTGCAGCTGCACTGGAAGTGGTACATTATGGACAGCTATCCCCACGTTCAAGTGGCTGCAGTGTGCTTTTCAAAGGGGAAGGGGGTGGCATGGAGTGTGTTGTGTGTATGTGGGGGGAGAGAGTGGGTTTTTGGGGTGCTGAGAGTGTGTCAGCACACTGTCTTGTAAGTACAGATCCCTCTCCCTCCCCCGCCTCTCTCTCACTCACTCAAAGCAAACATTAGCTGTTTGGTTTTTTTTCCTCAGAGCTGATAAGCAGCTGGCACTCCAAAACGGAGCTTTGCAAGGGCCACTTCCACATTCCTGCCGGAGTTCAGAACAAAGACAAGAGAGGCCACTTCAGTTAATGGGATTATGGGACACTTCCGGAGTGCAATCAGGGCGCTGTACCTTAACTCCTCGTTCACACTGACGTTGTAGCATCTCACCCAATACGCAGCAAACCGTATCCCTCTTGGGGAGGTGAGGACACTAGCAAGGGAGTCAGAGCGCTCTACGTGCCTTGCCAGTGCGGACAGGGAGTGAGTTAGAGCACTCTGGGCGGCTTTATGGCGGTATAATGTGCAAGTGTAGCCAAGGCCTTAATGAAAACAGGATCAGCCCCCGACACTCACTATAGGAGGACTTAGTGGTTATGGCAGAGTTCTGTGAGGCACAGCTGAGGCTCCCCAATTCCCAGGGCTTAATGGGGCCAGTTTGGCCCCTAGCATTAGAAAAGCCTTGCGTTGCTCTAAGCTTTCAATTTTATGCCAGGTGGGGTAAGAACTGGATCCAGGTGGTACACCCCAATCACACTCTCCTCCCTACCAGCATACTTCTGTGCTGGTGTTGCTGAGATATCATAGCAATCCCTACACCAGGAAGAGGAATAGAACCGTGACCATTTCGGGACATCTTAATAGACCCTTTGTGAAGGGAGCATGGGACAGAATCCTGACAGTTTAGTATTTAAGATAAAAAAAACTGGTCTTAAAGATAAAAGTATACACTTTATCAAATGAAAGAGCTACTATTTCCTATATACAGTTACCAAAGTGCTTCACTGCTTAGCCAAGAACTGAAACACCATGAATTAGGTACATCAATTTTAACAAGGTTTGTTTTTTTCCTGTACAGGTAAGTCAGTACATAGGAAGAGAAACAATGAATTATACAACACTATCTTTATGGTATAACTTACTGATAAAGTAAAAATTGAGTACAGAGTTAAAATAAAAAAATTTCTTTATTGCGGCATAAGTCCTTAATTTGCCACAATATTGAAACACGTATACAAGCACATTAAAACAGATTTAATTAGCTACACTATTTCAGATTGCTATTATGATACAAAGTATTTGTTCTGCATGTTCACTAATAATTTTTTGATGAACAAGTGGATAAACACTGCAAATAATAGTTTACCTGAAAGTTCCATTTAACTCCCTATCAAGCAGGCTAGCTTCAGACTCCCTTTAACCACATCAGAAAGACTAACATCACAGAACTCCTTAAAAAACTTTGTACTAAGTGTGTTTAATGGAACAATTTAATTTAACAGAGGCCAAATGAATATGCTTAATTTAATTGGAGGAAGAAACATCTCTAACCCACAGACATCCTTTCAATGTATCTATTGTTAACTATACGAGCTTCTATTTTCTAATTTAATGTAACACTGTCACTCAAGCACTTCGCTTTAGCCTATATGCAGTTTATTAAACTTGAGAAATTTAAAATTAAGTTTTGATGCTTTATTTTATAATTTCTTATTTGCATAGTAAGCAACATCTTGATCTAACCAGTTTTAACCATATAGTAATACTTTCTATAGCTAGTTTACCAGGTAGGCATCATATCAGGGAACCACATTCTTCCAAGGTGTTTCGAGACTTCTGAATGAATTTGATCCAGGTTGTAATCATTATCTGGAATTAGTACCTCCTCCATAATAGAAAGCTGGGTGAGCCTCCCTCCACACATCTTTACAAACTCAATAAAACCTCTGCAGGTAACCTCACATTCACCAAGGCCCATCGCTGTTAGGTTCTTACAGCGTTCAGCAATGCAAATGAGTTCATCATCCAGTGGCTGAAGTCCATTAGCACATACCACCAATTCAATCAACCTCGGGCAGTTCATTCCAATACGACCTAACATGGCTTTGCTTACTGCACGACCAAAGTAAAGGTGCGTAACAGGAGTTTCTTCTCTGAAAAATGCATCAAATTCCTCTTCATATAAAAAGAAGTACATCACAATATTGACTTTGGGGGAGTGCTTAACAAGTGCATCCCAACTTTGCTTTTTAATAGTATGAAATTCAATTTGTCCAGGATTTTCACTCACAACATCTATGCGAAGATGTTCAAGATTAACATGTTTCTCACTAGAGAGAGCCAGCAGCAGTTCATCACTTAGTATGTAATAATTCAAAGCCAGTTCCCTAAGGCCATGACACTGGTCGGCAACACAAAGAATTCCTAAGACAAAAAAACGAAATACATAAATTGCATATATTTCTTTTATAAACTACAATATATATTTGTATACTTAGCTTAAATTAAAACATTTTATTCAAACTACAAAACCATGTGGGTTTTTTTTAGTATACCCATATCCCAGAACAATGTCTAATATTTCCAGAAAAGCAATGATAATAGAAAGGATTGTTTTTATAGGTTGGGAGGAAGTTCAAAGCAGTCAGCTTTACAATAGTTCATATTTGATGGCACCCCTAAATGCTGTCAAACAAATCTCTTCATTTAAAAAGTTAGTGTAAAATATAAAATGAAGCTCTACTGTGAAAAATGGCTAAATATGGAATCTTCCTACTCTGCAGTTCTGCTTCTTTTGCGTGTTCATATCTGCTTATTTTAGTGATTATTTTCCCCCTACTGCTTTTTTACTCCTGTTAGCCCTAGAATGCTCCTACATCTGTAAGAGAGTGAACTGAATTTTAGCCTATTTGTATACCAACAGAACTGCTTACTAAATTTAATTCAGTCATACTTGTAAAAAGCCACTGAATGCAATGAATAGGGACGAGTATTACTGAGGCATAATCTGAAGACAACCAGTTGCACATCTGTCACTAAGGGAACAATTTGGTCCACAGAAGCTTTAACTAGTAATGATATTTAAAAATGCAGTTTGATTTTTAGTTGTGCAAACTGCAGCTGAGCTGGCATTCAAAAGCCTCAGTACACAACTGAACTCATTTAATATTTATGTTGAGAAAAACAGAGCCTCACAAACTTCTTTAATGACAGGTTTCAGAGTAGCAGCAGTGTTAGTCTGTACCCACAAAAAGAACATCGGATGCATCCGATGAAGTGGCCTGTTGCCCACGAAAGCTTATGCTCAAATAAATGTGTTAGTCTCTAAAGTGCCACAAGTACTCCTAAACTTCTTTAAATCACTTTAAGATGTTTTTAGACTCAGAATATGCAGAGTTTGTCATTGATAAAGTTATAATGACCATACATAAATGCATAACATTTATAATAATACCTTACATAATTCAGGAAATTCAATGTTATCTAATTTCCCATCACAAATTTGTATTAAAACTTCTTTTGCACGGCATTACTTGATTTTAAACAACTAAGCCACATAAAGGTATGGTTTTTCAATGAACAGAGATACAGGTACTGTACATGCTCATGTTATCTTGAGTATATTATGGAACACAAGTTGACTAGTTTAGAAAATACTGTGCACACTATGAGCAATTCATGAATTTGAATACTTACAACTCCATTATTTCAAGCAAAATTTCTTCACACAGCAAGGGTCTTGTCCTTTATACTTATGTTACAGAAAGAGACAGTACTATATATAAACAAGTACTTGCCTTCATGTTGGGCTAAGTGCATGGAAGGTTTAAATTTTTTTTTTTTTTAATCTAAAATTTAATTCTTTACAGAAGTAAAACAAAGCATTAGAATGACTGAAACAGCACGGACGAATCCCAGAAACAGGAATAAAACCAGAAATATTTAAAGTCATATGAAAGGTATATCAATACTATTCTGATGCTTTCCTTTCACTTTGATTACTCCAAAAAATGCTTAACATTAAAGAGGACATTTTCCCACGCTCTAGACAACTGAGAATAGCTAAGTGGAAGGTTTAAGTACCACCTCTGAACTGAGAATTTGCATGAAAGATTTTAAGTGGAAGAATAATTTATTCCAAATGTTAAGTACCTGAAAAAAGGTTAACAGAAATGCATCCCAACAGTAACTATTGCATTACTACTTCCTTTTTAAACAGATTTACTACTCACCAGCAGGTGACACATGAGGACAGCTGCTCATTTTTAGCAGTTTTAGAGTATCGCTATTGTTAGCAACAAGAACCTTCAAAGATGGATCATCAACTGGTGTGTCATCAATTTTGATGGATGATAATGACTTGGAGTTTACAAAAACTACTGTCAGTGCTGATGCAAAATGAGCCTGTTCAGAGAAAGTGAGGGGGGGTGGAAGTTATCCTTCAGTGGACATTTAATGTTATTATATCCATAGCATAGTTGATTGAACCTTTGCCTCAAGGTAGAGCCACTTGTCGTGTGTTACATGGGCCGAAGGGGTAAAATAATTATTCTATTATAAATTATAAATTTATATTTATAATATTTATAATTTATATAATTTATAATATAATTATAAATTCTTATTTAATCAATCCCCTAAGTTATGTAATAAAGAATATAGTACTTACTCTCAAACTAGGGGTTATTTTAATGCTTACAGTGAACACAAACAGTTCTGCGCTTTTCCCCATTTCCCCTCTTTTCAAAGAAAAGAAAGTGCATACAATGAAGAGCTTGAAGTAGCTACAGAATACCAGTAAGTAAAAATACCAAATTAAGAAAAAAAAATTTTTCATCAAGAAACTGAACCGAGACCTCTCAGGACTAACATCTGATGGAGTGATAATTGTGCCCTAGTTCATTGAGAGAGAAAAAGGAAACGATATACTTACATATGTAAAATTAAGTACTGTAGCACCTCACTTCTGGAGATCTGATTCATACCACTACAATTTTGGAATCTTGAATAGGGCTGTCAAGCGATTAAAAAGTTTAATCATGATTAATTGCGCTGTTAAACAATAATAGAATACCATTTATTTAAATATTTTTTGATGTTTTCTACATTTTAAAGTATTTTGATTTCAATTACAACACAGAATACAAAGTCGACAGTGCTCACTTTATTTATTACAAATCTTTGCACTGTAAAAAAAAGAAAAAGTATTTTTCAATTCACCTAATACAAGTACTGTTGTGCGATCTCTATCACAAAAGTCGAACTTACAAATGTAGAATTATATACAAAAAAACCTGCATTCAAAAATAAAACAAAGTCCAATTAACCCTATTCTTTGTTCAGCCAATCACTCAGACAAACAAGTTTATTTACATTTGCAGAAGATAATGCTGCTTCTTGTTTATAATGTCACCTGAAAGTGAGAACAGGTGTTTGCACGGCACTGCTGTAGCTGGCGTCACAAGGTATTTACATGCCAGATGCGCTAAAGATTCGTATGTCTGTGGGCGGCAGGTATAATAGGCCATGGGAAGCTCTGCCTCCCACAGCGCGGTCACAGCCACTGGACCCCCGGTTGCACAGTTTGGCAGCAGGGTTTTTGCTTTATTATATCCCATGCAGGTTCCAGGGTGGCAGAGGAGGCACATACCACCTCCCCAGCCACCCTGGAATACGCATGGGGCATATCAAGAAGTGTCTTCTACAGATACTTTTCCCCTGGGTCATGGGTGGGTTGGGTCCGAGGAGGGAAGGTGAGGCATGACTGCAGCCAGCCCCGAGCTCCTCCAGACGGGGGGAGGCTTCGCTTGGGGATTCAGCCCGCCTGGCCTGGGCTCCTCTGGGCAGGGGGAGGTAAGGGGGAGCTCTGGGCTGCGGCTAGCCTGGGGTTCCTCTAGCCGGGGGTGGGGGGTGGGGGAAGACACACTCCGGGCTACAGCTAGCCTGGGGTTCCTCCGGGCAGGGGGCACGCAGGGAATCTCGTGGCTCTGGGTGGAAGGGGCAGAGCTGGGGCTAGCCTCCCCAGAGTGGGGCTCCACCGGCCGCCTATCATATGTCCCTTGATGCTTCAAGCACCATTCCAGAGACCATGCATCCATGCTGATGACAGGTTCTGCTCGATAACGATCCAAAGCAGTGTGGACCTATGCATGTTTATTTTCATCATCTGAGTCAGATGCCACCAGCAGAAGGTTGATTTTCTTTTTTGGTGGTTTGGGTTCTGTAGTTTTTTGCACCAGATTATTGCTCTTTTAAGACTTCTGAAAGCATGCTTCACATCTCACCCCTCTCAGATTTTGGAAGGCACTTTAGATTCTTAAATCCTGGATTGAGTGTTGTAGCTATCTTTTGACAAAATGCAAAGAAGATACCAATGTGAAATTTCTAATTTTCAGTGAAAGTGTTCTTAAAAACGAACAACATGTGCTGGGTCATCATCCGAGACTGCTATAACAAAATATACGGCAGAACGTGGGTAAAACGGAGCAGGAGACATACAATTCTCCCCCAAGGAGTTCAGTCATAAATTTAATTAACGCATTTTTTTTTAAACAAGTGTTATCAGCATGGAAGCATGTTCTCTGGAACAATGGCCGAAGTATGAAGAGGCATATGAATCTTTAGCACATCTGACACGTAAATATCTTGTGAAGCCAGCTACAACAGTGCCATGCGAACGCCTGTTCTCACTTTCAGGTGACATTGTAATTAAGTGGGCAGCATTATCTCCTGTAAATGTAAACAAACTTGTTTCTCTTTGCGATTCGCTGAAAAAGAAGTAGGACTGACTGGACTTGTAGGCTCTAAAGTTTTACATTGTTTTGTTTTTGAGTGAAGTTATGTAACAAAAAAAATACATATGTAAGGAGCACTTTCATGATAAAGAGATTGCACTACAGTACTTGTATAAGGTGAACTGAAAAATACTATTTATCATTTTTACAGTGCAAGTATTTGTAATAAAAAATATAAAGTGAGCACTGTACACTTTTTATGCTGTGTTGTAATTGAAATCGATATACTTGAAAATGTAGAAAAACATCCAAAAATATTTAATAAATTTAAATTGGTATTATATTGTTTAACCGTGTGATATCATAATCATTATTAATTTTTTAAATCACGATTAATTTTTTTGAATTAATCGCATGAGTTAAGTGTGATTTATCGACAGCCCTAGTCTTGAGCCATGCATTTGCTTCCCAGATGTTCCAAGTCTGGATTAATAACCATGCTTCAGCACAGTCTTAAGACTCATTCAATCAATAGGACATAAGCAAATGCTTAGATACATTCCCAACTAGGGCCATAATCAAGGCCACATGTCCTAGAGTTGTGGATATATAGTTACTAGTTTTATAGAAGCCACTATCAGTGGGGCAAAAAGTTCTCTAAGAACGGAGTGTTGTCAAATGTAGGTCATACTTTAAAATACAAACATGAAAATGAGTGTTTAGAGAAATATATGGCAAGAAATAGAACTTTGTGCATTTGGGTACTTTAATGTTAAAGTGTTGGGTTTGTAAAAATTACTTTTCTTTTTAATTCAATAATAATATCTACATAGTTTAACATGCTTAGATATTAAATGATTTGTTACACTATCAAGGTAAAATTTGTGAGTCCATAGGACATTACCTTGGAGACGTTCATAAAACTTGGTTTTGCTGTTGAAATCAAACCTAATGTCTTGATAGAACAATTCACCAATTGAGAAAGGATGTCACAGGCAGCTTCTGCAGACTCAGTACTACTATCAACCTAAAAGACAATTTGAAAACCCTGAAGTCATTTTGTATTGCTTCCTAGAAAGTCAACAGCATGATAAAATATATTTAATATCCAAAATAGAGTAGCACCAGTTTTTTTTAACTAGTAGATTGCACTATACCAACTTTTATTTACTCCAAGAAAGGAATGTGAAACTTATTAAGCGGTTAATAATTTGAAGGCAGCAAAGAGTCATGGAAAGTACTTGCCTACAATACTTATTACACTGTGTGATTATCAGATAAACCCTGTTCTGACAGTCCTGATAACACCAGACATCTTAAGGTTATCCATCTATCTTTGATTTGCCTCATCTCTGCATTTCTTTATCAACAATTTGGACGCATGACTAGTACTGAATTGCAGGTTAATGTATAGCATAATTCCATAGCTGATGCCTCCTCCTTCATAATTATCAACTGTCAGACTTTTGGGGTTTATTCTGGTCTAAAAACAGGATAAATAAAAGTAATCCAGCAAAGTGGCCCACATTACACGCAGTGTAGCCTAGTGAAACTTGGAGACCTGGGTTCTATTCATGACTCTGCCACTGTCTGCTGGAAGACCTTGGACAAGCGTCTTTACATCTGTATTTCAGTTTCCACATCTGTAAAATGGGGGTGATACCTACCTCCTTTGTCAAGAGCTTTAAGATATGAGCTACATATTGTTATCTAGATCACTATGCAGATGACATATTAAGAAGCAAATCAGTTGTACTACGTGAAGTAGCTACATGTACTTAAAGTAACTGATTAAAATGTTAACCATGGACTGCTACAGAACTGCATCAGAAGAACTCTGAAGGCAACTAAAAAACAAAATTACTAATGACAGTGTTAGGAGAAAGAAACTTCTGAGTTTAAACCTGACTGACATCAACTCCCCCTCTGTGGTGTTCACAAACTTAGGGCTATTTTACACTAGAAATTCACCCATGTAAGGGGACCTGATTACAACATTATAGTCCCCACATGTAATTAAGACGGTCTTCCAGCGTAGATTCTATCTACGTAATTGCTATACTTTGAGTGGTGTATCTCCAAGACAAGCTACATTAATATGGTCTAACACCCGAATAAAGGGAGGACTACGTTAAGGTGGTACTCTAAACATGAACTTAACACTTGTGTGTGTAAACATTACTGTGCTCTTTCTTGGATATTAACATTTCTCAATATTCATGTGCAGCATATAAAAAGTTCTGATATATCCTTTAACATATGTAGTTAGATATACTATTTTGATTACATTTTCTTTACCTCTCTGCTTTAAATTGCTATGTCTAAGAGGTAGAAAATACTACTTCCCTCCCAGAAGCTGAGAATTAGTCGGTAGAGAACTTAGTTTAGTGCCACTATAAGAAAAACTGTGGATAGGATGTCAATCCTAGTCTTACAGAATACTTCCACTAACAATACTGGTCTTGTAATTTTTAAATACAAAAGGTAAAATAGCTACTATTTAAAGTCAAATTTACTACAATGTTGTGCAAAATAAATTTTTTAAAATAGTACGCTAAATTAAATACAACAGGCTATGAAAATCATGTGAACTAGATACTGTGCATGTACAGGAAGTACATAATTTTAGCAAGTGCTTCCTTTTGAAAAAAAATTGCTGGAAACATCTTTGAATATAACTTTCCATGCATTCAATAAAATAGTCATACCAATTTATCCTTAAAAAAAGAAGAAGTTTTTGGATGGAGATGCAATACAATTTACAGACATCCAAACACCACCGTCCTGTAAAATGACAAAACAAGCCTCCACTCCTATCTTTACCTTGAAGCTGACATACTGCAGATCATCAGCATGTCTCTTGATAATTTGCTGAATCAGATCGGGGTGAGTAGACTTTAAATAAGAAGTAGCTGGTTGGTTAAGCTCAAATTCAAACTTCCTCCACAGGTCAGGAATATGAAAAACTTCATTCCACCTTCGGCAAACAGAAGATGCCCGTGCTCTATCTACTAAAGGCAAGAACTGAAAAATATGTAAAACTACATGGAGTGGCAGGGTTCCCCAGTCCATCAAGGTTTGCAGGTGAGACTTGCCAAATGCTGATCCATAGAAAAATGTTTTCTGCTTTTTTGATCTTTGTGGTGCTTGGAGAACTGAGTTCTCAGTTTTAACAGTCCGCCTGATTCTCTTCATTTTGAGAGCAAACAATTTCAGGTACTAGAGTGGTGTGATGTAATGAAGGTACAAAGCTTTCTGTACGTTTTCAAGTACAATAGATCTCTAAAAAAAAGTACAGAAGATCAGTAAAACAAAAACAGACATGTTATCAAACCCTATCATACAAAATGTCTCTGCACTTGATACAATGTACACACAGTAGTAAGAGTCTCATTTCCATACATAAGGTATGCTCTGTAATGTAATTAATGAAACCAAATTTCCTAGGTCCAGATGAGCTACCCAAGGACAGTTTCATCTGCCAGTATTTCATGTAAGCATACCACCAACTGCCTTCTAAAAAATAAAAAAAAATATATAAAATAAAAAAAAAGTTAACTATACGCATAAGTTTCCACTGCAAATAAAAATATGGGATTTGCTACTAGGTTTAAGTAAGTAGGCTCGAACTAGCGGGTCCATTAGTAATTTCTAAGAGCATATTTGTCTTTGTTACAGTTTAAGATACACTGTCAATGCATATTTTTTCCCAAAGTGATGGACCTGTGAAATGCCATGCCACTTTTTGTCTTATTCTTTTAGCCAATATGGCAAAATAGGGCTTGTCTACATAGAGATTTAGCAAACATTAATCCAGATTGATTAAAGGTGTGAATTTAAAGTGGATTAGTTAAACCGCATTGAGTAAGAGTGTCCACATAGTGTTTAGCATTAAAATGACTAATTCAGTGAATTAAGCTAAACCAAGTTAAGATCACTTTAACTCTGTGTAAGTGTCAAGACAGGATTTAATGTGGACCAATCAATCCACTTTAAATTCACTTTAGTTCATCTGGATTAAGGCTTGTCTACACAGGAAAATTAAGTGCCACTGAATTGTGAAGTCTGAGGAAGAATCACCCCCACACTGCCTAACAGCTTGTCCAGGTAAATCTAATTCAATGAACTTCTGAATACCTACTTTCACCCATGTTCCTTTTTAGAAAAGGGCAAAGGCACAAAATATTATTGCACATAAAAGCAAGGCAAGACACACTGATCAAACAAAGTGGATGAACCCACAGATGAGTTTTTGAATCACATAACCTAGAACTTCAATGCTTTTGAAATACTTCACTTTTTTTGAAGTGGGGACAAGGTATAGTGCATAAAAGATGAAAGATGAAAAAAATAAACAAAAAATCTAGAGTTTATTTTACACATTTGCAACGTTTATCTAGGTTACAGACATTTATCTGACACTTGCCCCTACAGTGTAAGGAACCTACTTCAGCACGCTGTAACTTCACAAAGAAACTAGTTTATTCTTGACCAAGCTTGTGAGACCTTACATAAAACTGGATGGCATTTCCTTGTCTTTAATATGGTAACTTAAGTGCTGCATCAGATCAATTCCAGAATTTTCAGGAATGTTAGGTATCAACTGTCAGAACTCTCTTAATTTGGGGTACAACACCATCTGTACTGAACAGCCACAGCTTCAAACCCCTCTATATAACTGTCGTCTATCAATTAAAGAACTGGTTATGGAACCCACTAACACCTTCCAGCATAACAATACCCCTTGTATCATCTCTTCTCATCCTCCCAATATAATTTTATGGCAATACACCGAATGTCCTATCTTTCAGATAAAAAGATGATAAATAATGGTGGGAACAGAGCCCGTAGCATAAAGGGAGGGAGGAATGGGCATGCAGAGACCACGTGGGCTGGTAGAATGAGGGACCCTGAAATGGAGGGCAAATAGAATCCCTGGGGCTCGAGGGAGACTGGGGACCCTGGCATGGGAGGAGAAGCCGAGGGGGGGTTGTAGTAGTTCCTTAAATAGAGAGGGTTGGAGAGTAGCAGAGTGCTTATGGAAAAGAGCAGAGAAATGCAAGCAGCTCTTGGTGTATGCAATGAGTTTGGCCTAAAAAAGCAACAAAGTGTTGCAATCCCCTCCTTTTATAGCACACAAAAAATGTACTCTATACTTCACAAAAAGACATCAGCTTGTAAATTTGTTGCAAGGTTAAATTTAGTTGGGCAGCAGGGAAGGAGGATAACAGCCAAAGAAAAAACAATCAAGTGATAATTCATCTTAGGCATGTGCATAACTTCATGGTTTCAGGGTTGCTTTTAGAACTCTAAAAAGAAAGATACTACTGACTCATTTGTTATGGGTAGTGAGCTTTCAGAAAGGATATACCTTATGTTAGAGGCTTGCTGTTACGAATTCCACAATCACAGGGCAGCATGCATAAGGCAACAATACATTTGTGCCTGTTTATGGGTTTAAATCTAAATTGCTACAGCATATGATCCAAACACAAATTAGTTTTATTAGCAATGAAAAAGGTCTCCTATTTGCCTACCATAAAACTTACCCTAATTTGTTATGTCTTTGTAGTTTTGTACTGTCTAGTCTTGCACTTTGACAAAATGTAAAAGTGCATAATTCTATTGGAAACCCTGTGATGAGTGCCATATTCAGAAGCCTATACAATCTTTTTGTAAAATAAAATAAAAAATTAACCACAAAAAAGAAATTAGGTTGGTCTAAAAGGACCTATTTAATTGTGATTTGTTTGCATTTTACATTATCACAATATGTAACTGCATAAAGGCCATATACATATTGTGGCTAGGTATACTTAAGAACCAAACTATGACAGCATGAACATGAAATGGAAGTGTCATGCACAGATTATGTACCATTTCAAATTCCTTTAAAGGGACCTTCCCACTTTCTTGGTTTTTTTCCAGTGCTAACCAATTCTTGAAGATATTATGGCATTTTGTCAGTTTCCAAAACTAGTTCTAGACACTAAACAGATAAAGCACTCACAAGTCAAGCAAAACTCGTTAAATAATTTAATCTGACCACACAGGAGTCAAGAAATGTAAACTATCAGCCTTGATGCATCTTTGGAATTAGAGGGAGTTCAATTCCCCACTTTCTCATGAAAATGGAACTATTCAAGGCTATGTTGAACTCTATGGACCAGACTTCAGTACATATTACAGTTTAAGATACACATAGGAGTGTGTAAATTAAACAGAATACAACCAAAGCATGTTAATCCAAGAAGTCATTAATACAATCTCTAGAGGGTTTATCAGTATGCCACAGATAAAGCATACGATTGAATGTCAACTCTTACTTCTCTACAAACAGAATGTCTATGAAAACTAAACAATTCTCACCCAACATTTTGCAGTATACCGGGTACTATAGAAACCTGAGACAATTAATCTCAATGATGAAAAGCCTAACTTTTTGCTTGTTTTAGGACAATATCTGAAAAAACCAAAATCCCTTTCTTACAAAGACAGGGTGAGGTAATACCTTCTGTTGGCGAGAGAGAGACAAGCTTTTACTGCACAACATAAATCGATCGAATAAAAGATATTACCTCACCCACCTTGTCTGCCTAATATCCTGGGACCAACACAACTACAACAAACCCCTTCCTTGTCCTTTTAGTCCATGAACTTTATAAGAAGTTTTTTTTATCAATTAAAATATGGAAGGTAACTCTTATCCCAGTAAGCACCTTCTATATATTAAGGGTGTTTCAAAATTAAAGCCAGTACCTCTCCCAAACATCCAACCACATCTGAAATACCGATGTACTTTCACCTTTTCAGGAACTTCCAGGTTTCTGATATTACTGTCTTATATCTCTCTAATATCTCTATGGTTTGGAGATAAAGAGGGAGATTTTCAAAGGCACAAATGGTAGCTGGGGCAAGCCAATAGGAGTTGGATGCCTAAATTCCCAGCTGCACTAGAGCTGCAGCTTCATGTTGCCAAGCAGGGGGAAGGGAGTAAAATTTTGCATGTACCCCCAATCTCTGAGGAAAGTGGACTAACAGTATAGGCCTAAATGAGTTGGCAGTCAGGTCTAAATCTTAGAAGATCACATGCCCACATCATAACTGGCATCCTTGTTAGCTACATTAAAAGAGGCCAGAGACAGAATGAACATGAAGGCTTTAGATTTGATGGAGCTTCATCAAAAAGGAAGGATCTTAGATGGACACATGGTCAATGTTATAGGCAGTTCCTGCTACACTGAGGGCTCTGAAGATTAAGAATATGACTTTAAATTGGCAACAGAAGCAGACTGGGAGCAAACAAAGACTATGACACAGAAATGGTGTGTTTATGGTATCCTAGTCCACTGAGGAGATGGGTAGCTGTATTCTCCCCAATATAGTGTGCCTGCAAAGCTTTCATATTTTGTATTAGAATTAGTTTCTGGAATCTAGACTATGAAAAAACTAAAGATCTGGCTGCAGTGATCCATATTCTGAGAGGAAAAGACAGTTTTCTAGAAAACTGAAAGATGACATTTTCCACAACTGATGCTACCTGATTTTCCAGGGTTAGTAAGGAGCTGAACAAGACTGAAGGTTCACACCACTTTGAAGAACCAGAAGTAGGTATGTTCAATGCAAGGGAATACCAGTGGGAAAGACAGCATTCTAACTAGTTCTATGAAGAGATACCTCACTATGACCAGCATCACTGCTGTCTGTTTTGTAGATAGAGGACTTCAATCCCCAGGGAAATTATTCCAGCGGCTTTCAGAAGCAGTAAATCCACTTTAAAGATTATGGTGAACTATGATCATATTTATATGGCAAAAAACAAAGAATATGAGACAATACACAGAAAGTTAAGGAACTCCTCAGAAACTTTGAATGAGTAATTCAGAAGTATTCTCACCCACCCACCCACACACTCTTCATACTACAAGTATTACAAGTTTGAAAGGTAATTAGGTCCAAGAACAGTCTCATACAGCTATTTTTTCTGACTACTATAACAGAAAGATGAGAAAAGAATTCTGCTCTTTGTATTAGCAGTTTCACTGTACTTGTTTCCTGTTGTGTAGTCTTCACACAGCAATAAGGAGATGAAAACCACGTTAAAAAAAGAAATTGTGACTAAAGTCACAATAAATTGGGAGATTTAATAACTGAAGTTTTGTCTTTTTAACTGACTAAATAGTAAGTTTTTCTGATCTAAATGAAAAGAGTGTTTCAAATCTAATCAAGAATTTGATTTTTACTAATTTAAAGAAGAGCAGCACACTAGCTTATGTTAATATACACTTAATGTGTTGCTTCACTTTTCAGACCATTTTGTCAGATAGTCATCTAACTGACCAATTTAACAACTGTTCAGAGAATCACTAAATGGATCTGCAGTAGAACATTAAAGTTAGTATTCTGATATTACAGGCAGAGTTGGTAGCTTCCCATTATAGACCCTGTTTTTGGTTCCTTGTAACTTTGACAACTTTAAACTGCCTGGGATGAAATTTTCCATGCCAGAGGTCTTCCTCCGGCTGAATTTTTTGAAAAAAATTCCATCAGCCAAAGTAGCTCAGCTATTTCTAAGAATAAGGTATAGGGAAAACATGCTTTCCCATGTTAATTTCTGGCACCATCTTCTTTGATTAGCAACCACATGCTTTGCATGAGGGACTTTCATTTGGCAGGGGGAGTCTTTTATTTCAAGGATGTGCCTCATTATTTCCATGAAAATCTGCCCAAAATTGGCCAAGTTATAAACCTTTGACACACTACATCTTACACAAGCTCAGAAGAGACTTGCTAGAGCTTCACAGCTAAATGTCCTTAAGATTTTGATTGCATGCCCCAGCTTGGAGCTGAGCAGGACTTTCCTTGAAATTGTTGCACAAGATTGCTGCAGGCCAGGCTGGACAGCAGAACTGAGAGTTGGTCTCCTGTGCTCTCAACGACATCATTGCTGGGCCCAGGAAGGATGGAAGAGGAGATCTCAATTTGAATGCAGAAGGACAACAGCCAAATTAGGTGGGCTAGATTGTGACTGGATGAGCGCCAGTGTGCGGGGAGACCAAAATCCAAAAAAGCATTGGAGAGACAATGACTGGGTGGGCAAGGAGCCTGGAGAAGGGAGACATGACACATACTAGATGAGGAGCCTTGGGAAAGAGACCATGGGGATAGGGAACATAGGTGGTGCGTGATGAATGGAGGCTGGGGGGATCTGGGACTGGAAGTTCAGAGGGGTGAGACTAGGCCTGGCTAGACTAAGACTGGGATAAGAAGCCTCAGGAGTGGAAACTGGGGCTTGCTAGGTAAGGAGAATGGGACTAGGAACCATGACTGGCGAAGAGACAGGGCAGAAGGGGTCATGGCTGGGGGTAAATGGGAAGAAGAGTCTGTGCCCAAAAGACGCCTCTCCAGAGAGAGTCTCACCATTCCTCTGCCATCAGCACATATGGAAAAAATGTTGCACATATGCATTACAACGATCACATAAGGGGGCCAAATTAAGGTTACATTGGCAACCTTAATCCTAGCATTTCCAAATTTTGAGTGCTTGCCCTTGCAATATTATGTTTTATTGCATCTTTTTGCATGCAACATATTATCCACTTCAAAATTTCACAAACTAGTACACACTGCTAAAATTTTAATTCTATTCCTATGACTCTAAATCATCTAAATGATACAACTATGAAAACTGTGGATATCCTTTCTCTAAACATAAAGGGTCAGTTGCTCAGAAGCAGATACTTGGCACTCAGTATAGATGAGGAGATAGTGCGCAGAGGCTTGCTGTAAACTGCAGCTGCTGCCATTGGTCCCCAAGGATTGTTTGGGCAGTTGGGAATCATGAGACTGCAAGAGTGTGACCACACCCCATATGCGAGGGTGAGGCCAAAGAGTGGTATAAGTAGTATCTTGTAAATGCTGAATATATATGGTACATGAAATGCAGACTGCAGGTTGTCAGCCATAAGCACAAAATATGGTAATTATTACATTAACTATCATATTATTTTAGCTTAGCTATTTTTGAGTCTGATATAGTTTTGGTATTCTATATACTTCTATAATACTTTAAAACTCTTGCAAAGTTGCATCACAATGTTACGTGATACCAAATTTAGAACCACAATATGAAAAAAAAAGTTTATTGCTTATAGATCATGGACAATCACTATAAATGTAGATTTTTTTTTAATTTTCCTTTTATACATAGGTGTTCACAGAACCTTCTGTTCCATTCTGGCATTAACTAAAATCTAAAATAAGATGTATGTCACATATACAGCTATTTCTTAAAAATAGTTTACAATATATTCTCTACAACTGAAGTTAACTACAGTCTAATTTTCACGTGATACAATCAAGGTAGCCTTGAATCAGAGGTGCACATGCACACATACCTCCAAAGAATGTGGAAGTTCCTGTCTAACATCAGCACCTTTCAGGTGTTTGAACATCCATCCCATTGCTGAGTCATCCTGTATGTATGAAACCAGAAGGCAGGGAGGGGTCCCAGAAGATGAACTGACCTGTGAAGTCATCGACCAAAGACAAACTGACCCGCAAAGTCTGGGAAACTCATGAGGGACTTTAAGAATTCTTTAAGAATTCTAAAAGTATTTTAATTAAACGAAGAGCACTACTGAAGAAGCTAGTCTCAAAATGTTCGCTCAGCAAACAGTTTTGTAACAGAACAGTGATCTCCAAGGTGCATGGCTCTAACCTTGTGCCACTTTATACCTTCAGAATGCACCCAGTTAGCATTAGTTGCACAACTATAGGGATTGAAGTTACACAATCAATACCATATTATTAAACCACCACCACAACTATATCATTCCCCTCAACCAAACAAGTCTGTAAAGGGATACACAAGCTTCCATGTGTGGGCAGGAAAAAAGGTGCTACTCAGCTCACACAAGAGAATCTAAGAGCTGGGGAGCTGTACTTGCCCGATGTTAAGCAACCAAAACACAGGACAGAATCTGTAGACAGCATCCAGAGATATTTTTTTTTTTAACTTCAGTGTCTCTCCGTTATAGTAATCTTGTATTACTTGTACATCCCACTGTTACACAGATGTTCCTAACAAAAGTTTGTTTTGTTTTGTTTTTAAGTTGACTGTATCCTTGATCACTGTTGGTTGTTCTGCACCTGCACCACCTTTCTGCAAGAATGTTATCAATTATTACAGTATACAAGAAAACTGACAGTAAATAATATATTAGTAATTACACAAAAATACTATGCATAAGACCACAACTGAAAACAAAGCAAATGTGACATACAACATGCACAGATATTTTACAACTAAAGTTATAGAACCAACATAATTAGATATAAAAGACCAATTTTGAAAGTTGTATAGGACAGTCTGAGACAATTTTCTTACCTAAAGAAAGCTTCCAAGTTATGGTGGGTAGTGGACAAATGAACTGTGGTAGCCGCGGCCATGGGGCATTCACCAGCATCTGTCTGCTTTCACTTCCTGACTAGATAAAAATGCGACAAAAAACGTTTAAGTTTAAAAATTAACGCTGAGATTCCATCCAGTATAAGAATGAGTGAGTTAATAAGGACCTACAGTCATCTCATTAGCCTTCACCTTCCCTACAGACGTTTATACAGAGAAATTTAGCATCCCTCAGCATAGCAAAAACAAGTTTGGTTGTGTCAGCCCAATGTCATGTAGATGTTTTTCCATACTGCAAATACTACAGACAGAATTGGTAGTCTTTGCTGAAGATAAGCATGAAATTGAAAGATGAGTGTTACAAGTTAAGAGTAAGTGTATTGGGCAAATTATATGAAGGAGTTTAAACAATTGCTCTACTGATCCAATGCTACTAGTCATGTGTTGCCGTGAGCACTGAACTAAAAAAAAAAATCACTACCCAAATTAAGTATTAATGTCATCTAAAGTCACAGAAAACACTAAGTATATTAAAGAGCAACTATATAGACTTTTCCTTGTTTTTTCTGTGTCAAAGATTTATTTCCTTTATCACGTTATGATACTATATAAGGAGCTCTCTGGATCAATTTCATCTGTTTTAAAACAGCATTAAGAATCTCTTTCCCATAATCAGATCAGTAAGGTTATTTTTGTGAGAGCATAGAGTGGATATTAATATGCTACTTCAGTACTTTTTGGTATTTCTGGAAAATACTAAGAGAAGGCTCACTCATCCCATCTGTCCTATTTTCAGCACTTTGGTATTTCTTCCATCATTGTTCAATTTGAGAAACTATAGTCTAAGGCAGAGGTGGGCAAACTAGGAACCGCAGGACCGTCCTGCGCGGCCCTTGAGCTCTTGCCCAGGGAGGCTAGTCCCCGGCCACTCCCCTGCTGTCCCCCGCCCCTGCAGTTACGCCACTGTGCGGACAGTGCGCTTGTGCCTGCCCACCTCCCAGGTTTTCCAATAAGCCAGTCATGCTGGTCTAAGCGGCATGGTATGGGGGCGGGGAGGTTAGATAAGGGGCAGAGGGTCCCAGGGGGCAGTCAGGGGACAGGGGATGGTTGGATAGGCATGGGAATCCTGGGGGCCTTGTCAAGGAGCAGGGGGTGGTCAGGGAACAAGGAGCGGGGGGATTGGATGGGTGAGGAGTTAGGGGGTGGGAAGTGGGAGGAAGCAGATGGGGGCAGAGGCCAGGCTGTTTGGGGAGGCACAGCCTTCCCTACCTGGCCCTCCGTACAGTTTTGCAACCCCCATGTCGCCCTCAGGCCAAAAAGTTTGCTCACCCCTGGTCTAAGGCAAGAATGCTATCTGCAGTCACCTTCTACTTAATTATCTCAAATGCCACAGCTTTCCAATATCATCTTTGGTGGTTTGTTTATTATAACTTTGACCAATAGCACACTTATGAATCTGAACATGCCAAAAAGTAGGAGATGCTTCTGTGTTTCATTAAGATTTAGGTTGGGGTAACTATAACAGCTAGTTATTTAAGATCATCATAATTTACAATTCACGGTTAAATACGTTCCTCTTACTTTTCCTTTTCTGAATATGCTTAGACGGTCCCAGTATAGATTTATACAGTAAATCAAACAGGTGCTTCTGTGTTTCACAAAGAATCAGACTGGGTAACTATACAACAGTTGGAGACTTAAGCTAACCACAAACTATAATTTGTAATGAAGTAGATTTCTCTTACCTTTTCCTTTTATTGAAATATCAGAAGTTCATAATACAGATTTATACAGTAAATCAAGCAATTACATTTAATCTAATAATGGTTTGTGTTTGTATATGACAGTATTGATTAAAATTTTGGAAGACATACAGAAAATGTAAAGAACGAGAAGTACTTGTGGCACCTTAGAGACTAACAAATTTATTTGGGCATAAGCTTTTGTGGGCTAACACCCATTTCATCAGATGCCTGGAGTGGAAAATACAGTAGGAAGATACACACACAACATGAAAAGATGGGAGTTGCCATACCAACTCTAACAAAACAACTTTAATTGATCTGTCTCGTTAGAGTTGGTATGGCAACTCCCATCTTTTCACGGTGTGTGCGTACGTGTGCCTACTGTATTTTCCACTCCAGGCATCTGGTGAAGTGGGTCTTAGCCCATGAAAGCTTATGACCAAATAAATTAGTTAGTCTCTAAGGTGCCACGAGTTCTCCTTGTTCTTTTTGCTGATACAGACTAACACGGCTACCACTCAGAAAATTTAAAGTTACCTAAGGCTTTCAGAAAAGAAGCAAACTCCTGCAGTATAAAGAAATTTCCTTAATGTAATTAAAACAAAAATATTGCACATAGTGCAGACAATGCCATCTAGTTTAAAAAGAAATGTGATAATAAATATGACTAATAATTAACAAAGGTATAACAAGGTATTTGTTTTTTATTAAAAAGGTACTCCACTTATGCGGAGAAGCCAATGTGAAGTGAAAGTTTAAGATAAATCTAACCAAATGTTATAAGAGCTAAATAACCATAAGGTCTGTCCGACGGTATAACTAGCAGTTGCACATAAAGCTTAACATAAGAAGTGATCCTACCAATCTTGTCACTGAACTGTAGGGAATAACCAAGTATTTGTACAGTGTATAGACAGCTGCTTTGCCTTATTGTTTAACTTACATCCTATTGGTGTTTGATCAAGCAAATAACTTTATACTGCTGCATGATGAACTACTAAACAAGTACAGAAAACAAGGAATGTGAAGAGACTTTACGTAAAGATACTCTAGCTTCAAACAGACATTTCTTTAGGCATCTAGGAGTGGTGACAGAAACTGCAAATTGGAAAAGAACAAAGAGCTATGCAAGGTTGGCCAAAGGTTACACCACAAGAGAGAGGGAAAGAGTCTGGAGAAGTATGTTGCTGACTGGAACTAAAATAACGGGCAGCTGTTCAATGATTGCCTTGATAAAATGTCTCTTGCAACCCATTATGTCCCAAGAGGTTTTGCACAAACTGGTGAGGTCTAACATGTCTTACACAAACTTGATGGCATAAGATAACTGCACCTAAAGATTAATAAACTTTCCTTGAAGTTCTTGATTCCAGGACTGAATTGTAAACAGTTGAGAAACAAAAATGCAAATTGTCACTTGGGAAAAATTCATGTTCTTTGTCAGGATTTTTTTTATTCTGAAGGAGAGAATTGCTGAACAAAACCAGGCTGGTTTTATACAGTTTCTGATAGGTGTTGAAGGTGTTGAAGGCTGGTTCCTCTTCTTGGTGAAGTTATGTGGGCAGGTCAAAAAGTGACCCAGGCTAGTGGCAAAGATTTGAAACATCCAACTGGCATAGGAGTTGAAAGCAAGACAGAACACCCTGACCAAAAAACATGTAATTTTGCTCAGCTGGCAACTTGGCTATTAAGCTACATGCTTCTTAGAAAGTACATACTTAAGTTAAAGTAACTGTAAATAGCTAAATACGTATGATGAACACTTGTGTTTCACCAACAACTTTGATTTAACATGTTTTCTAGACAACTAAGATTAATAAGCTATTTATAGTTTTGAAGCCACAAAAAATTATAAATGCTGGGTCACGTTAGTGTAACTGAGAGAAGCCTTGAATGTTTCAGAGATCAATCTAGAAATCAGGAATTTTGTGATAAAAAGTTGACAATTTTCCAAAGATGAAAAAGCTTTGAACTGACTTGTAAGTTTAAGATTTTTTCCCCTTATTTGAACAACTGATTGAAGTGACATTTAGAATATATAGTAGTGGTGAAATTCCACAGATATTAGAATAGTTTTCAAATCATTATGTGCATACTGTATTTGGGGGTTAGAGTGATGTGTGAGGAAAAACTGGAAGAGCTTGGCTGCAAGTATCACTTTGGCAAGGTAAATGAGTTGACATTCGTAGTAATTAAATAACTGGTTTAAATTTCTAAAATGCTAACTTTAGTGTTTGGCTCGACTGCCACAGGCAGTCCATAATTTAATTGACACACTGACATAATTCTGTATTTAAGAATGCATAGTTAAAATGCATACCTGGTACCAAAATCATCTGTCTAGAATAGTAAAGAATTAAGAAAGTTTGCCTACATAATACGAGTGTGAGAGATCTTTAATCAATGTATTATATTTATTGCCTGACAAGTTTTAACATCCCATATTCTTAACATCGTATGCTGGTGTCATTCTTTTAAACACTGTAAATACTAACTAATCATTCTTATTTGGTTTCCTGTAATTCTTATTCTGCAAAATAGAATTTAAAGCAAATAAATTTCAAATAACTCAGCAATCTGTACTTTAGCTAAAGCCTGGAGAACTATGAGAAACCTAATTAACCAACTCTCTCTCCCAGATCTATTTAATGTGTGTTTTTATAATGTCTCTCACAAGCCCGATGATCAGGATTCCAATAGAAAGTTTTTAAACTAATACATTACCCGCGGTGTGTGCAATGCAAACAAAGCTGTTTTGTGCTTGTGAACAAAAACCAGAGAGAAGTCAAGACACTAAAACAAGCAAGACTGACAAGCCTAATTAGCACAGAAAGAATGCAAAGACAGAATAATAGGTGAAAATTCAATTTTAAAAAGGTGTTCATTTACAGGAATCTAAAATGTTACCTACAAGAAAGCTGTCCCCCCTCCCCCCCATCCTCTTTAGCCAAGATCATACATCCCAAAGAAAGCAGTATTTGCTTTGAATACTATTATAAATAAAAACCCCAGCTCAAGCCATGGGGCTCAAGCTTTGGGCTTCAGCAGGGCTGGTCTTCCAAGGCACTGTGGTCAAGATGCAGAATAAGCACAGGGTGCATAGCTGTGGAAGCGTTGGGGGGAGGGAACAGCAGGGCCCAGGGGGATGGTGGGGAGCCAATGGGGGTTTGGGGGATCCTTGAGGACTGAGAGAGGCAGCAAGAGCTAGAGGTGATTTGGGGGTTGAGTGCCAAGTGGAGGCAGCAGGGGTCAGATGCACCAAAATACAAGTACATTATTTTTTTGTTATTGAGTCTGCAAAAAACCAAAAACCTACATAAATCAATTACAATGATTTGGAAACATATATGTGCACATTCATTTGTTTTTCCTAAAGTATTTTAAGAAAATGTAAGTAAATTAAGAAAATTTAAGAAAAAGCAAGAGTCGGTGGCTGCACTGAGGCCACCAAAAAATTTGTTGTGAGAACCACTTTAATGGAGTTTAATGGCTTAGTGTCTGCTCCCATTGGCTTCACTGAGAGCAGCATCTGGTCCTAAATAAAGGGAAAGTCAAAGCTTAAAGAAATAAGAGTGAAGTCAGTAATAGGAAACTAATTATACTCAATTACCAGTTAAGATGGGACGACTGTTATATCAGAGGAAAGAGACAGCTTGACATTTTTGTAAGATAAACACCACCCTGGTCAGGAGATGTTTCATTGTGTGAAACTCTGTCCTCTAAGTACTGACAACTGGAATACACTTACTTCAGAATGCTATTTGAATGTAAAAAGATAAGCTCTCTTCATAACAACTGATTGTCGTTCCTCCCTCCTTCAATGTATGTATGTATGTCAGAATGTGTGTGATGACAATTACTTTAAATATGAAGGTGGGTGCCAGACTTTCAAAAAGGTTCTAATCTGTTAGCCCAAATAATTTTAAAAAATAAGTTATAGAATTTGTTGCGTACTTTTACCCATGACTTTAATCTTTTGTTTTTCCAAGTAGTAAAAAGCAGTTACTCAGAAATCCTGTTAAACTTCTGTTTGAAAAGCAATCCCCTTTTTCAGTTTTATCTTAAAGCTGCTTCTTTTAAATCTCCTTATTACATAATTTATTCAGTGCTTCAATGAAACACTTTAAAAGGCCTCCCTACAGTATTTTTACCTATCACCTCTCCCTATTCTTTATGGAATAACAGAAATTAAGATGCTCCCTACAGTGTTTCCTGAAGCATTTCACCCTAATTTTAAGTAGTATTCTGTGCACTCCAAATTAGAAAAATCCTTCCTTTTGAACCTGACACTCTCCTTTTTTTAAAAAAAGGAAAAATTGCAGAGACCAACAACTATGAGAAGTCTTTTGACCGAGCCCCCAGTTCAGCTTCAGCTACAAACTGAAAGGTGACAACAACCCAGCCAAGCCTAACAGAGTATCACTGAAACACTTGTTCCTTTCAGTTAATGTCAATATTACCTCTGCCTACTAGATACCAGGATCTCCAAGTCTCTCACCTGAGAAGAGGTGTCCAAATGAGTTTAGTGTCTGATGGAAGATTTTGCTTAACAGCAGTGGAGATGTCAGGGATATTTCACTTTTATCTCCTCTCACTCCCAGGGCACCAGTCTGAAAGAGCCCAACCCGAACGGGGGAGGAGACCATAATAACCTCAGCAGCTGGGCCGCTGTTTATAAACAACCACCGGAGACACGCACACGCCAGGACGGACGTCAGGAGCAGAAGCAGCTTTGGGGCTCAGAGTGAATTAAGGTCTAAGAGGCCAGTGGCCATTTGCTGCGGCAGCTCCTGACGGTGCGGGTTAGGGCTCCATCCCCCCCGCCCCCGTCGACAGCCTGCAACACCCTCAGCCCCCCTCGCCACCTCCCCCGTCGCTCCCGGCCCCAACCCCGCCCACCCCTCATTCACGTCCACACCGCCTCCTCCTCGGCCCCAACAGCGCCCCCCGTCGGCTGCCCCCGCGCAGCCCGACAACAGCGCCTATCCCCCGTTCCCAGAGCTGCTGCTGCTCCTCCTCCTCCTCCTCCGCGCCGCCGCTCGGCCCGCTCTCAGGGCCCTATTGTGCAGGAGCAATTCCCCCGGGCGCGCCTGCCGGCCACCCCCCAGGTCCCTCACACTCACCGCCGCGGCCGCGATGCCCCCCGCCGGCTGACTGAGTTGAGCGGTGCGGGGGGGGGGAGTCAGAACCTTCTAGGCCAACAGGGAGCCAGCAGAGCCACCGTCCGCTGCCGTGCCTCGGGGGGGGGGGGGGGAGGTGGAGCTTCTTCCCAGACTCCCCAGCCAAAGGCACTCCCTGCAGCGCATGCGCTGCTCGCTCCCGGGCACCTGTGACCTGACGCATGCGTCGTCTGCGCGTTTCTGTTCTTCCGCCGCTAGGTGGCGGGAAAGTCCGTTCTAGCGTCAGCTGCCTCTGCTGCGCCACAAGGAGGCGGGGGCTTCCGGAGGGCGTCAGCTTGTGCTGAGCGGTTCGGTGCTTAAAATGGGGTGAGGGAACCTGCTGTGTCGGTTCCCCTGGCCTCGGTGCCAGACAAAGGAGCCCACGCAGAGAAGCTCAATGTGATTCTAGTAGCTGTGAAGCTACTGGATCGCATGCCCTGATTCTCATGGGTGACTTTAATTTTCCTGATATCTGCTGGGAGAGCAATACAGCGGTGCACAGACAATCCAGGAAGATTTTGGAAAGCGTAGGGGACAATTTCCTGGCGCAAGTGCTAGAGGAGCCAACTAGGGGGGGCGCTTTTCTTGACCTGCTGCTCACAAACTGGGTAGAATTAGTGGGGGAAGCAAAAGTGGATGGGAATCTGGGAGGCAGTGACCATGAGTTGGTTGAGTTCAGGATCCTGACGCAGGGAAGAAAGGTAAGCAGCAGGGTACGGACCCTGGACTTCAGGAAAGCAGACTTCGACTCCCTCAGGGAATGGATGGCCAGGATCCCCTGGGGGACTAACTTGAAGGGGAAAGGAGTCCAGGAGAGCTGGCTGTATTTCAAGGAATCCCTGTTGAGGTTACAGGGACAAACCATCCCAATGAGTCGAAAGAATAGTAAATATGGCAGGCGACCAGCTTGGCTTAATGGTGAAATCCTAGCAGATCTTAAACATAAAAAAGAAGCTTACAAGAAGTGGAAGGTTGGACATATGACCAGGGAAGAGTATAAAAATATTGCTCGGGCATGTAGGAATGATATCAGGAGGGCCAAATCGCACCTGGAGCTGCAGCTAGCCAGAGATGTTAAGAGTAACAAGAAGGGTTTCTTCAGGTATGTTGGCAACAAGAAGAAAGCCAAGGAAAGTGTGGGCCCCTTACTGAATGAGGGAGGCAACCTAGTGACAGAGGATGTGGAAAAAGCTAATGTGCTCAATGCTTTTTTTGCCTCTGTTTTCACTAACAAGGTCAGCTCCCAGACTGCTGCGCTGGGCATCATAAAATGGGGAAGAGATGGCCAGCCCTCTGTGGAGATAGAGGTGGTTAGGGACTATTTAGAAAAGCTGGATGTGCAAAAGTCCATGGGGCCGGACGAGTTGCATCCGAGAGTGCTGAAGGAATTGGCGGCTGTGATTGCAGAGCCATTGGCCATTATCTTTGAAAACTCGTGGCGAACCGGGGAAGTCCCAGATGACTGGAAAAAGGCTAATGTAGTGCCCATCTTTAAAAAAGGGAAGAAGGAGGATCCTGGGAACTACAGGCCAGTCAGCCTCACCTCAGTCCCTGGAAAAATCATGGAGCAGGTCCTCAAAGAATCAATCCTGAAGCACTTGCATGAGAAGAAAGTGATCAGGAACAGCCAGCATGGATTCACCAAGGGATGGTCATGCCTGACTAATCTAATCGCCTTTTATGATGAGATTACTGGTTCTGTGGATGAAGGGAAAGCAGTGGATGTATTGTTTCTTGACTTTAGCAAAGCTTTTGACACGGTCTCCCACAGTATTCTTGTCAGCAAGTTAAGGAAGTATGGGCTGGATGAATGCACTATAAGGTGGGTAGAAAGCTGGCTAGATTGTCGGGTTCAACGGGTAGTGATCAATGGCTCCATGTCTAGTTGGCAGCGGTATCAAGTGGAGTGCCCCAAGGGTCGGTCCTGGGGCCGGTTTTGTTCAATATCTTCATAAATGATCTGGAGGATGGTGTGGATTGCTCTCTCAGCAAATTTGCGGATGATACTAAACTGGGAGGAGTGGTAGATACGCTGGAGGGGAGGGATAGGATACAGAAGGACCTAGACAAATTAGAGGATTGGGCCAAAAGAAATCTGATGAGGTTCAGTAACGATAAGTGCAGGGTCCTGCACTTAGGACGGAAGAACCCAATGCACAGCTACAGACTAGGGACCAAATGGCTAGGCAGCAGTTCTGCGGAAAAGGACCTAGGGGTGACAGTGGACGAGAAGCTGGATATGAGTCAGCCGTGTGCCCTTGTTGCCAAGAAGGCCAATGGCATTTTGGGATGTATAAGTAGGGGCATAGCGAGCAGATCGAGGGACGTGATCGTTCCCCTTTATTCAACATTGGTGAAGCCTCATCTGGAGTACTGTGTCCAGTTTTGGGCCCCACACTACAAGAAGGATGTGGATAAATTGGAGAGAGTCCAGCGAAGGGCAACAAAAATGATTAGGGGTCTGGAACACATGACTTATGAGGAGAGGCTGAGGGAGCTGGGATTGTTTAGCCTGCAGAAGAGAAGAATGAGGGGGGATTTGATAGCTGCTTTCAACTACCTGAAAGGGGGTTCCAAAGAGGATGGCTCTAGACTGTTCTCAATGGTAGCAGATGACAAAATGAGGAGTAATGGTCTCAAGTTGCAGTAGGGGAGGTTTAGATTGGATATTAGGAAAAACTTTTTCACTAAGAGGGTGGTGAAACACTGGAATGCGTTACCTAGGGAGGTGGTAGAATCTCCTTCCTTAGAGGTTTTTAAGGTCAAGCTTGACAAAGCCCTGGCTGGGATGATTTAACTGGGAATTGGTCCTGCTTCGAGCAGGGGGTTGGACTAGATGACCTTCTGGGGTCCCTTCCAACCCTGATATTTTATGATTCTATGATGAGCGGGGGGAGGGGGGGGGAACCGTCTCCCTCGTCTCCCTGCCTTGCAACCCACTTAGCCTACCCCACCTCCCTCACCTACTGCTGAGACCCACTGTCTCCTCATCACCGTGCCCAGCAGCACAGCCTGCTACTTTAGGGGAGCGTCCAGTCTGTGGCAGGCGTCGAGGTGCTGCCCCCCACACCCCGTGCTGAGGGCCCAAACACTCTGCCCTCCTTCCCAGGGCCTGCTACAGTCACATAAACAATGGGAAGAATAAATTGTCTCTGTTCCCCCCCCATGGAAGAACAGAGGAGAGTGGTGTAAAGGTGGCGTTAAGCTACCGTATGCTCCCTCCACCTAGGACCAGCAATGGACCAGGCTGGTTTCTGGGGTAAGTTAGAGCAGCCTTGGGACTACTCCACACCCCGCGGCCGGTGACCCCGAGAGGCAGTTTTAACATCGAAGAATGGCCTCTTGCTACATCCTTTTTGGGGAGAGCTGTGAGAGGGTAGTATAGAGTTACTGTGTAGGTATATAGGTCAGCCTTTGGTGGCCAAAGAAGCAGTCCCTTTAATTAAACACTATATAAAATAATACCACGCATTTTCCCTTCCTTCTCTAGTTGCCTCTCCTTTGGAAGCAAGATTTCTATAACTGGCAGCTGGTACCATCAGGGCCTAGACATGTTGCTGGATCTTTCTAAATAGACCTACTGTTGCATGCAAAAGAACATCAAGAGAATACTGAGGAAAAGTACATTTTCAATCCTTATTGAAATGACCTTATCCTTTTATTATGTACTAGAAAACATGTAATATCAATTTATTAGGACTGAATCCTAATATTTTTTATTTTGAGAGTTTAAATGAGACAAAGATTAATCATAAGAACAGCCATACTGGCTCAGACCAAAAGTCCATCCAGCCCAGTACCCTGTCTACCGACAATGGCCAATACCAGGTGTCCCAGAGGGAGTGAACCTAACAGGTAATGATCTCTCTCTTGCCATCCATCTCCACTCTCTGACAAACAGAGACTAGGGACACCATTCCTTACCCATGCTGGCTAATAGCCATTAATGGATTTATATAAGGGCAATAAGATTAATGATTCCTAACATCCTGTTTGCTTTTTTGACTGCTGCTGCACACTGCGTGGACGTCTTCAGAGAACTATCCACGATGACTCCAAGATCTTTTGCCTGATTAGCTGTAGCTAAATTAGCCTCCCATCATATTGTATGTAGAGTTGGGGCTATTTTTTCCAATGTGCATAACTTTACATATATCCACATTAAATTTCATTTGCCATTTTGTTGCCCAGTCACTTAGTTTTGTGAGATCTTTTTGAAGTTCTTCACAGTCTGCTTTGGTCTTAACTATCTTGAGCAGTTTAGTATCATCTGCAAACTTTGCCACCTCACTGTTTACCCCTTTCTCCAGATCATTTATGAATAAGTTGAATAGGATTGGTCCTAGGACTGACCCTTGGGGAACACCACTAGTTACTCCTCTTGCTTGTGAAAATTTACCATTTATTCTTACCCTTTGTTCCCTGCCTTTTAACCAGTTCTCAGTCCCTGCAAGGATCTTCCCTCTTATCCCATGACAACTTAATTTACATAAGAGCCTTTGGTGAGGGACCTTGTCAAAGGCTTTCTGGAAATCTAAGTACACTATGTCCACTGGATCCCCCTTGTCCACATGTTTGTTGACCTCCTCAAAGAACTCTAATAGATTAGTAAGACATGATCTC